GATTAATATGCCAGTGAAAATGGCCTAATTGAATACCGCAACAACTCACACAATCAGGGAGGAACACGCTGTTTTGTTTTGTGTAGATTAGCCCTTTTATCAATGTCTTTATTTATATTATTATTATTATTACGTGGTATTTTAATTCGGCTGACAGCCCCCTCCCCCACACCCCTCCTGCAGGCGTAAGGAGGGACAGGCGTATGAATGAGCCACATTGTGTCCGTCTGAAGAGAGTCGAGAGGAGCACAGAAACTTTTGTCACACAGTCACAGATCTCGCGGCTCGGGACGGTTTTTAAACCGAATGCTGTCTAACAGGGAAGAAGTTTCCAGAAAGGTCACGTGTAACTTTTAAAGCAGCACTATGTAACTTTTGGCGCTCTAGCGGTTAATAAACAGAACTGCACACATCCCGCGGAAGAACATTCCAACCTGAGCTACTTCTCTAAGTTTATGTCTACGGCTAGGTATGTGTTACTCCACAGCGGTGACGACCCGACCAGGCGACAATAGTCCAAATATAAGTACTTATTATAAGTGTACCGTAGTGATTCGGAATAAGACAAAAACGCGGTTTGGAAGATGAATTCATGATGTACTCGCTCATTATATACATTTTGCACATTTTGAACACAGAAAAAGTTACATAGTGCTGCTTTAAGTGAGTTATTTCTGTTTGTCCATTTTTAGGTTACCTCAGAAAACAATTTTGACTTTTTTTTTGACAGATTTAAAAAACAAATGGGCAAATTTTGTTTTGTATAAAGTCACAATGAAGCATAAGTAGCAGAAGTAGCAACTGATCTTTTCCTATGAGTAAACTGATAAACGAAAAATAAAATTGTAGGGCGGGGCTTAATTCTAAACAGGTCGTTGATTGGATGGAAGCAGATCTGAATGCAAACTTGCAGCCAATTGAAGAAAAGAGGCGGGGTTTAAGGTTGAGTTTAAGTAGCATTTGGTAACACTTTATTTTAATGTGCCTTTGTTCCACATACACTGTAAAAAATATTGTCATAATTTGTTCTCACAACTTTTTTTTTTCTTTTGTCAAATTAACTTATATAATTAATGTTGACGATTAAGGTAAAATAATATGTTGAGTTTCTAAACCAATCATTTTCTTTCTATTAAAGCACATTTTTAGTTTCAATTAAACTTTTTTTAAGCTAAACCAAAATTATTATTTTTTTTGTACAGAGCACAGAAGAAATTTGAACAGTAACACAATGCTAAAATAATGATTTAGACAACTATTTTCTAAATGCATCTTCTTATTGTGAACAATTCTTGCACATTTCTTTTTTATTTTATCTTATTTTATTTGTTTGTTTGTTTTAGCTCAATATTTTTTATTAGAAATTCAGGTTGCTTTCTTTTATGGTGCCTTTGTTACAGTGTGTATTTAAGTACCGGGTAATATTAATTAACAGCATGTCCTTAATATAGGGTTGGGGTTTCGTTTAGGGTTAGTAGGTTATGCATAATTTACTGTTATTACTATGGCGAGTAAACAGAAAAATGTATTGAGTGTTCATGACAGGAGCTGAAAAACTGAGTCTATCTTTACACAGACAAGGTAAGTAAGTCATTTTATCCCTCTAGTCTCATGATAACATGTATAATGTTGACGTCTGTGGCTGTACTTCAAACAGTGTGTATTTGAACGTTTATCGGGTGAAATGTCTTCATTGTAAGTGCAATACTGTGATTTATGCTTGTTTGAGGGATGACAAAAGCTGCCACGTATGCTTATAAAACATACAGTTTGTTTTGTACTGAACTCAGGGTTGAGAATATCTGCCTAACCGATCTGAAAACAAGGAGGCCACTGGGATAATGAATTCGGTTCATTTCCCATGATGCTTTGTCTAAATGCCAGAAGTCTGGAATCCGTCTCTCTCTCTCTCGGTTGGATGCGAGCGCCGTGGTCAGCCGCTCTCGGCTCTGGTGTGCATGTTCTCCGCTGCGTTCCCGCTCCCTGTGTGAAAAGGCTTTAGGGGGCTCAATCAGTGGGACTTTGATGTCGACTGCGGCTGTAATGATTTCATATTGTTCCAGGGATTTCTCTAATCCACTACACTTTCATTAAAATCCCTCACTCCATCCTGCCTTCTTCTGAGGGGCTTCGGACAGAATCTGGCTCCTCGCGAACATCTCTCACTCTTTTTTTCCAGTTTCCGCTGCAATATTCATAGGGAAGTTATAACTGCAGATGCTAATTCAATTTGAGATGTTGGAAGTCGTTCCAGGCAACGTTTTAATTCGTAAATGATGAGGTCCAGGAACAAGGACCAGTGACGGATCCGGCAGGTTATGAGGGTCACAAAACATAAAAGAAAAAGAGTGTGGTGTGACACGATGCAACTACGTCACTCCCACTAAAATCAACAAAACAACCCGCATTTCAACATCAATCAGGCAGGTCTATCTGTGCTTGTGGAATACAAATTGCTGTATAACTACATTCAAATGATTCTAACATATTCCTGTTCGTGAAACGCTCAAGTAGTGTGCAAGCACCCTTTGTTTTGTTGTGTCACGGCACTTGCTTGCAGTACAGATTGAGTGCGATGTGCGTTGAAAACACGTTACTACAGTAATGGGTTCCTATTAAGATGCACTGGGGTAAATGAATATGCAAATAAGATTATTGTGCTACTGTAGCAAGCAAGACTCTCTCCTCTATGAATTTAAAAGTGAAATGCGTTCAAACAGCTAGCATATCTGCCTCCTCTTTTCAATGATTAAACAAAAACTACATCGCTACTTTATGTTTTACATTTTTACAGTGATACCGCTGTTATTAACAAATGTTATTACACTTTATTTCTCCTGAAACATTCACTTTCATTCAAAAGTTTCAAGTAAGATTTTTTAAAAGAAACTAATACTTTTTATTCAGCGGGGATGCATTAAATTGATCAAAAGTGACAGTAAAGATTTCTATTTCCAATACATGTTGAACTTTCTATTCATCAAAGAACTTTATTATAGTTTTCACTAAAATATGAAGCAGCACAACTGTTTTCAACATTGATAATAATCATATTTCTTGAGCAGCAAATTGAGCATATTATACTGATTTCTGAAGGATCATGTGACACTGAAGACTGGAGGTAATGATGCTTAAAATTCAGCATTGATCACAGAAATAAATTATATTTTAAAATAGATTCAAATAGAAAACAGTTATTTTAAACGGTAATAATATTTCACTGTTTTTACTGTGTTTTTTGCAGCCTTGGTGAGCATAAGCGACTTTTGAATGGCAGTTTACAGTATGCACAGATTGTTTTAGAGGCGTATGAGGTGAAGCATCCACAAAATAGGTGTCAGATCCCAGATATGACACACAAAAAAAACACCAATTCCAGATATTCTGTGTCTATTGGCTTGGCATAGTGAGACTCGAACCGTTCAGAGAAGACAAAAACACTGTTTCCTGATCAGATAAGAAAGCACTGTGCCTCATTATTGTTCGAATGAGTCTGTAACCGAACTAATCGTGTTTATTCAGACGACTGGAGGGAGAGAAAGAGAAATCCAGAGATAGAGAATATCAGTGTGCTGTGATATCTCACCATCAAGAACTGATTACAAAGACCCGTGTTCAGATATAAAGATAGGAGACAAGTCAGCTCAGTTTGGCACTAGTGACTGTATTGTGTAAATCTAGTGTGAAACGCAAGATAAACGCCTCCCAAAATGCTATTATTACCTTATCAGATTTCATGCTTTTAAAGAGGACAAGGCTTATTACAGTACATCATCCAGCTGCACCTTTCAGGCTCACTTTACTCTGTCTTACGCTGTGCAGTTGTGGCATATAAAAGCTGTGTTTTTTTCTGTGTTGCATTGTATTACGACTTTATTTAGATAGTCCATTTTCGACATAATACTATATGTAACTTTGCAACTACATATCAACTAACTCTCATAAGAGTATTAGTAGACTGTTAGGTTAGAGTTAGTAGAATAAGTTGACGTAGGCTACTTGCAAAGTTATTTACAGTCAGCAGAATATGTGTTGGGGAGCATCAAAATAAAGTGTTAGCAGATATTAAGCAGCTGTGTTGGGGGTAACGCATTATAAATAACACACGTTTACATAATCAGATTACTTAAGTAACCAGTAAAGAAACATCCCTTTTAAATTTACAATGAAATATCTGACTTTTTTTTGTTTTTTTTTTCAAATAAGTAATGCAAGTTACTTTGTTTTCCCATTTATTCGCTAACATCTCTCCTGTCCCCATGATGTGAGAAATTTGGAATAAGTGCAGAGGCACTTTCTTCAGACTGAAACGTATTAATTTCTCTTTTAGTGTGAAAGTGAAACGTACAGTTGTCAAAAATATAACTTTTGGGTTTTTTGTTATTAAAAAACAAATAAGCAAGCCCCACGCAGGTGACAAAAAGTAACGCAAAAGTAACGTAATGCATTACTTTCAATAAAAAGTAACTAAATAACGCTATTAGTTACTTTTTATGGACTAACACAATATTGTAATGCATTACTTTTAAATGTATCTTTCCCCAACACTGTTAAGCAGACAGTATATTACCGTATTGGCCCGAATATAAGACGACCCTGATTATAAGAAGTTTGGTCCCATCAGGCTAGCGTGACAGTCACGACTGTAAGGTTTTCTTTTTCTTTTGTTTTTACTCGCGATCTTTACAACACGCATTACATTACGTATTTCATGGCACACTCGTTTTATGCGTATTTGGCGCCACCTATTGTTGTGGGTGTATTATTGACATGTCAAAGTCTAGACCCTGAATATAAGACGACCGCGTTTTTTCAGATGTATTTCCAAGAAAAAAAACATTGTCTTATATTCGGGTCAATACGGTAATACTCTAATGACTGCTATGTAGTTGTAAAGTTACTTATAGTTAGTATAATGTCTGAAGTGGACTATCGAAATAAAGTGTTACCAATTTAAGATATGCTAAGACTGTTGAGACGTGATTGGACGGCTGTCTTACTTGGGCCGTCCCATTCCTCTGTTGTCAACGGGCTTGGTTGGACTCTCTCTTCTTGTCCGTCACTGTCTTGTTGCTCCACCTTTAAACTTCCACCCATTTCACCTGTATAAAGACATCAAAGCTTAAGGGTTTTGCGGTACAAACGGCTAAACTGTAGCACAGTCAGTAAACCGAACCGTGCCAGTCGCAGCGGCAGCATCTGTTCATTTTCTTTCATTTAAAACCCTTATTCCAATGTGCGGTTTCTCATTTTGGATTCTTTCAAGTGTCTGCTGTGGGATTTTATGCTCGTTTCTTTGGAGAGATTGGAAAAGAGACAGAGAGCAAGTCCCTGGACCCACCTTGATCACAGACCCGCTGCCTGTGTTAAGCCCTGTGACGAAACTTATTGGAAATGTTTAATTACAGTGTTGGGAAAGAAATTAAGCTACAAGATGATTCCTTAATTAAGCTGTGATTAAGGATTTTCTGCTTTTGGCTCTGACACCATGGGCAAAGTAGTATTTAACACCGTCACAGGCAAGAGAAGTTAACTCCAAGAACAGGCCTATTTACCTCAGATCCTCACACAACTTCACACACACACACACACACACACACACACACACACAGGGAATCAGTCCATGTCCTCTGCAGACAGGAAATTCCTTTCTAGTGACTAGATTGGATAAAACCGTATGACCTTAAATCTCGAGCTGAATAAAAACAGGGACAGAGCCAAGTATTAAACCTTCTTGAAGGGACAAGACAGCCAAAATACCACTTAAAAGCTGGTGCATGTTCAAACCAGAGGGTTACATGTATTCAGATAAATTTTGAGTAAAAAAATATGGATTCCTATATAATTTTGAGAAACTGACGAGTGGACTACTTATAAATTGTAATCCATTACTGATTCCAAATTACATGACAAAAATTGTAGTTAGTAAAGTAATCCATTACATTACACATTTTAGGTAATATAATCAGACTACTTTTGGATTACTTTTAGATTACTTTTGACCTAACTTGTTTATCAAATTGATTTAAAAAGGATAATCCTGTACCATACTGATATAAAAATAAAAAAAGAGAGAGAAAATATACCGTTGTGCTCATAAGTTTATATACCCTTTGCAGAATGTGCAAAATGTTAATAACTGAAACAAAATAAGAGGGCTCATGAAAATTGCATGTTATTTTTTTATTTAGTACTGTCCTGAATAAGCTATTTCACATAACAGATGTTTACATATACTCCACAAGACAAAATAATAACTGAATTTATAAAAATGACCCCGTTCAAAAGTTTACATACCCTTGAATCTTAATACTGTGTCGTTTCCTGGATGATCCACGACTGTTTTTATATTTTGTGATAGTTGTTCATGAGTCCCTTGTTGGTCCTGAGCAGTTCAACTGCCTGCTGTTCTTCAGAAAAATCCTCCAGCTCCTGCACATTCTTTGGTTTTCCAACATTTTCTGCGTATTTGAACCCTTCCCAACAGAAAAGTCCTCCAGCTCCTGCACATTCTTTGGTTTTCCAGCATCTTCTGCATATTTGAACCCTTTCCAAAAGTGACTGAATGATTTTGAGATCCATCTTTTCACACTGAGGACAATTGAGGGACTCATACACAGCTATTACAAAGGTGGAAACATTTACTGATGCTCAAGAAGGCAACACAATGCATTAAGAGCCGGGGGATGTAAACTTTTGAACAGGATGATGATGTGTCAATTCTTCTCATTTTGTTTAACGATCATATCTTTTCATTTAGTACTGGACTCCAGAAGCTACATAAATACTCACATGTTTCCCAGAAGACAAAATAAGTACAATTTACCCTGATCATCCAATTCAAAATGTTTACACCCCCCGGCTCTTAAAGGGGTCATATGATGCGATTTCAAGTTTTCCTTTCTCTTTGGAGTGTTAGAAGCTGATTGTGCATAGATAAGATCCCTGAAGTTGCAAAGACTAAAATCTCAAAACCAAAGAGATATTCTTTATCAAAGTTAAGACTCTGCCACGCCCCCCTAAAACGGCCAGCTGTCTTAACCGTGGCTTGTGTACTGCAAACACATATTCATCAAGGTGTCTGTCACAAGACTCTGTTCCCCTTTCGGGCTCGGTCTTTACATTTATTTTGAAAGATGAAGCTTGCGATTATGGTAAGGGGCGTTACATTTCCGACGAGTGCTTGCGGTGTTCGGCCAATCACAATGCACTGGGTCAGCTGGCCAATCAGAGCAGACTGCGCTTGTCGGAAGGAGGGACTTTGTAGAAAACGAAGCGTTTGAGAGAGGCGGGGCATAGAGGACCTACAATAATGTACAGTATTTGAAAAATAATGTGTTTTTTGAACATTAAAGTATGTCAACATATTCGGTTACACCAAATACACAAAATATTGATCTTTAAAAAAGCATCATATGACCCCTTTAATGCATTGTGTCGGACAGTACTAAATAAAAAATAACATGCAATTTTCACGATCCCTCTTATTTTGTTTCAATTATATATTCAATATTATTATTAATTAATATATTAAATAATTAAACGCTATTGTGTGGATGATATGTAATCATGTAATCAATAAAAAAGTAACTGTAGTCTGATTACAAGTATTTTAAAATGTAATGTAATCCAATTACAAGTACATCATTTTAGATTACATGTAATCAGTTACTACTCAGCGCTGTCGATATTTTCTCAAAGCACCTTATCTGGAAACATGACATTTTTACAGATCCATCTATTTGTTCTAGAGTAATTAATCAGCTTTACTGCCACTACTAATGTAATTATAAATATGAAATCATAACTCATCTAGATGCCATTATCTATTCTGTTATTTTTGACATTTTCATTATACGGTTCGCAGATTACCTATTCTATTACATGATTTATCATATAGGTAATAAACCTCAACTGGAAAACTGACGTTCTTACATATTTATTTATTCATGGCTGAGTAATTAATAAGCAATCCTACAGTCCTGAGAGCGGCTCGAAATGACCCCGCTGAGGAAATCATAAACTAATTTTCATCAGGTATAGGTGTCATGATCTATACTTTTATTCTTGACATTTCCATTATACGGTTCAGAGATTCAAAAAGCAATTATGTGATCAAGTGAGGGAGAAAAAAAAAATCAAGAAAAACAATAAATATTCAACTATTCAAAACTTAATAGGTCAAAACATGCGAGGAAATTAAAAAGAATTGCCCCTCTTGCTATTCAACAAGAACAAAAGCAAACCGGCACACGTCGTTCCACCAATTTGGAACAAAAAAGCGCAAGTGATTGCTCTTTTGAAGATTGCACGCTCGCAGGCAAAGCAGGTAGTTTACGCACTTCACTTTTGCCGTCGCAAACTTTTTGGACGTCGGGGATACCGAGACAGGCATTTCAAAGAGAAGATTCATCGTTTACAAATAGAAAAGCATAACGTTAGGACGCAGAGTGAATTTCAAATGGCTGGGGGGGCTCTGAATTATCCCGTTGTGACGGTGAGGTGTGGCCGGCAGAAACGCCTGTAATTGAATTTCAGTTCAAAGAGCTGATGCTATTAGCCTGAGTTTGATGGTGGAGGCCAGCAGCAAATACCAGCAACTCTGTTGTTATTTACTATGACCAGTAACCCTGTTAGTAACATATACAGTACGTCTTCCCTCAAAATGCCATATTTCTTCAGTCTTCTCTTTCAAATTCAATTTCAGCACAAAACCAAACACTGCTTTGAGCTAAAGGGTGATTGTGAGTTCTAGAAAAGGTCTGATATTTCTAACATTTATAGAGCATTGTGAAATACAATAGAAAATATGCGTCCCTCTATAGGATTACAGAACAGAAATGTTTGTTTGTGTACTAAAACAAGCCCATACATGTGATTAAAAACTAGGAATTGTATGTGTATTGTGATTTCGGTATCACTTTAGATTAGGGAACCCGATTCACTCTTAACTAGTTGTTTATTAACCTACCTGGTCTCATGGCATAAATGTACCTGGGGGCACTTTTTAGCGAGAAGCGTAATACGTACCAATAAGTATATATCACTACAGTTTCCAAAAGAAATGAACACTAGAGGCAGTAAACCTCCGACACCTTTTATTCCTTTTCACACAAATTTACAGAGTTTCGATTAATAAAGCGCAATTTTCGCACAATTACTTGAAGAATATCATATAATGACTTCAAAACAATATTAATATGCTGGGAGATTTGAAAACTGATGCTTTTGAACGCTAGCATCGCACATATCCAGCTTCATATCTATAGGTTTTCATGAACGGTAGGTTTGTTTGGTAGCTCACGGAGTACGGAGACGTACTTGAGAGACGAGGAGCTCCGGTTCGAATCCCGTGTAACCACGGTTCGACAAAACAGTTCAAATCTGCATATAAGGATGTTCAAATGGCACGGTTGCATCAACAAATGCGTTTTTATATCAGTTTTGCATTTGTTAACACTATCGGGTAGGTTTAGGGTTGGGTTTGGTGTAGGGTATATTTCCAACACCATAGAGCATTAACTTTTAGTGACAGTACGCGGATATTTGAATTCGTAATGCCGCAATATATACCAGAAGCAACATAATAAAAACATAGCAATACGTACCTATATCAACGTTATAAAAACGTACCAGGGTTCACATATTGAACCCGTGTTTTAGCGCCACTCAGTGGAAATTTCTCTTTGAAACTGTGGCGAAACGTGCAGTAAGGTACGTAAAAACAGTATTGCACAAAAAGTACACAGAGGTACGTATTTTTATGAGACAAGGTTGTTATTAACATGCATATTACTAGCATATCGCTTGTTTATTAGTACTTATAAAGCACATATTAATCTAGATCTCTTAACCCGACACCATATCTAAACTTAACTACTACTACAACAACTACCTTACAAAAAGCAGCAAATTAGGAGTTCATTGAGGCAAAACTCTGAGTTAATAGTATAGTGAAAATGTGTTTCCTAATCTAAAGTTACCGTGATTTCCAATTGAGTTTCAGCCAGATACATGTTTTCTCAGGTTATCTTTGAGCTCACCATTCCTCGAGTGATCTCCATCTTTAGAGACGGTGTTCTCTGGGTCAGAGTAGTAAAGCGAGTCATCCTCCACAGACCCGTCTTCTTCTTCTTTCAAGATCTCTTTCTTCTCTGTCTCCTCAGAGTCCGTCTCAAGCCCATTGTCAAACACCCCTGTCAAATAACAGAGAAACATGTGCACAGCATTAGCACTTCAGAAGAAATGAAAGTGAATTCACGTTTGTCTTCGTTCTTGTGAAAAAGAAGGACACTTTAATACACTTTTAAAAAGAGTACTGTATGGAAATGATATACTTAAATGTATTGGTTTTTCATTGCATAAAATGTATGAATAGTTTAAATTTACATTAAATGCAAAACGTTGAGTGCTTTCTGACCGACTTAAGTAGGACATTTCATAATTACTTCTATTGTCTTTGAAATGTGGTTAATGTACAAGCATTTATGGTAAACTAAAATGTACTTTAATCTTATTTCTATTGAAACTTTTACGTCATGTATTTAAATATGTTTGTAATTACAGATTTGCGCATTTCAATTTAGTGCATTTAAAATGTATTAACTTTAAGTGTAATAATGAATAACACACACTACAGTTAAAAATATAATCAAGTACTTTACATGTGCTTTAGTATGCTAGTCAACACATCAAAATAAGCGTCCTTCATTAAAAACATAATGATTTAAAATGTACTTTAATAAAATAAAACTTTGATATTACTTTTTAAAGTGTGTTAAAATCATTTATGAAAGTGCACTTAAGTGGCTTTTTAATTCATTAAAGGGGTCATATGATGCTTTTTTAAAGATCATTATTTTGTGTATTTGGTGTAACATAATATGTTGACATGCTTTAATGTTCAAAAAACACATTCTTTTTCAAATACTGTACATTATTGTAGGTCCTCTATGCCCCGCCTCTCTCAAACGCTTCGTTTTCTACAAAGTCCCTCCTTCCGACAAGCGCAGTCTGCTCTGATTGGCCAGCTGACTGAGTGCATTGTGATTGGCCGAACACCGCAAGCACTCGTCGGAAATGTAACGCCCCTTACCATAATCGCGAGCGTCAGCTTTCAAAATAAATGTAAAGACAGAGCCAGTCATGTGACAGACACAGTGATGAAGCTGGAATGTGTTTGCAGTACACAAGCCACGGTTAAGACAGCTGACTCCACTGTGATGTGACACTGT